GTTTTAGAAAGGTGTTGCCTGCGGCATAGGCTTTAGGTGGCATGTTGAGTCCTTGCGTGGAAACATCGACGCACCTCAGACGCCAAGGTTTGGCGTGGAAGTGTGTTGTCCTCTCATGACGTGGTCGTGTACTCTGGGTTCTCTGAGTCCCATGCGAACTGGCAACCCTGGGTTCGGCGGTTTGGCATCTCAAGTCCTCCGGTCTCAGACGTAGACCCCCTGAGATCATCTGAGAGGTCTTTGAAGCCTTGGATGTGGATGGGCATGGCACGCTTGATCAACGAGAGCTCCTTGGCAAGGATGGCTTCAGCCTACGCAGAGTTTGCAGGTCCATGGCCTGGCTTTTGGAGGCGGTTGCAAGGGGAATCGTTGCGCCGAAATCTTGGTCAGTCAGCTGCCAAGACACTTTGCGTTCCTTTGGCTAGCGGCAGAAGTTCAGCTGCAGCATCCGTCTCTTTTGCAAGGCAACCTTCGAAGCCTCAGCAAGCGAAGGGTACTGAGTACTGATAGCGGGATTAGGTTGCCAGGATGTCTACAAGGATCCTACTCGTACAGCCCAAATCCCGAAACCCCATTAAAACCCAATTCCTTACGTTGTTTGCGGCTTCTGAGCACCCTAAACCCTAAACCCAGAACCTGGGTTGGGGGGGGGGTGCAACTCGAACTCTCTAACCTTAAGCCTGCCTTTGCCCGAGCCGCACACAAAATCCCCTCTCTGCGGGTAGTTGCATGGTCATGTATCTGCCGCAACCCAGGTTTGTGGAGGGCCTGCTGGCGGTTTACCTACAAAATATGCCGCTGTCACAGCTGCAAATGCTGAAGCTCGTCCAGAAGCAACTTGCCGCACAAATGTTTCCCTGCACCGGAAGTACTGTATCTATGTGCAGGTGTCTTGTTCCATTCAACTTGTGAAGTTCGGGTTTTTTGAGCACGGCCCAGGAATTCACAAGAGTGAAAGGTGCCATGTGCAACAAACATGGTTAAGCCTGGAATGCATCACATTTGCTGACAGCCTAGCTACACCCCCCCCATGAAATCAAGCAAGGCAAAGTCAGAAGATGGACGAGATTCGGAAGGCCAAGAGAGATCTGCAGCCGCTGTCTTGTGCATGTACTAGCCCAGTCTTCTTTTGTACCTTTTGCTCTGCCCCTTCAGCCACCTTCCACTGTCTGAGTTTGCAGCATTGTGCTTCGCCACCTGATTCAATCGAACCCTGCAGCTTCTTCGACCACGATATCCGGTGCTGGAGACGGACTTGGTCGGAGTTCCGTGGCTAGCATAATACCCGGCAACCAGCGTCACTAGACGCAAGACTACTGCGACGGCGGCACATCGCTGCGCTTCTCACTGGTGCTCTGTTCCTGCAGCTGAGAAGATTCACGTGACAGAATCATGCCCCGGACCTCTTACTGCATGTCTGGAGGCCAAGCATCATTCCTCAGATGCCCCTAGTCTATTGTTGTTGGTGCATGTGTTAGCTAGTCTAAAGCTGCTTGCCTGTGCCTGTATAGGGTTGTATGCGACAACGTATATAAAACCTGTTAAGCACATGAGTCACATGAGGCTGGAGAGGCAAACGAAATATAAACTCCTCGCAATGCCACGACGGGGACCCACTGGCCTTCACACAGTACACAGTACCTGCCTAGAAGTTCCTGCATGATTCAGAAACCTTCCCAGATCCGAGCCCCCGAGCCGAAGCTGATGTGCCTGCTTTGTTCGAGGTTTGAGTGCAAACATGCTCTTCTCCACCAAGCTATGGCCATTCACCGGGGGCGCACCCTGAGCTGCGGCGGCAGAACCTAGAATCACACATCTTGCTTGTACCCTGTGGCACCGGTGAACGCCAGTGTCTCTTCCTGAGAGTTAGTGGTTCACGATTCGCATGGGGTCGCTCAGCTCTGCCACGGGATATCGGGGCACCCGTCCAGCATCTGGAAAGCCAGCCCTAAATGCCGTCCACGGCATGAGATGATACAAAGGACGATCTCTCACCCCCCCCTCATGCCTTGTTGAATAGCCTAGATGTGCGAACCCCCTCTGTGACCAAGAATCTAACCCGCGGCTGAGAGCACTGCGGAGATCTGTCCTGCAGAGCAGGACCGACAGGACCGAACTGGCAAGTGGCCTTCTTAGAAGGCACTGATGACGAGGATCCAGCTGCTTCGAGGGTCAAATCTCTGGTCCGTACCTTCGGAGAGGTCCATGATGATTGCAGCGTTATTTCTCACAGGGTTGCACACTAAGCCCCCAAGGCTTTCCCTCCCCATGACCTCAGCACCGAGGGTGCTGCTGCCCCTGGCAGCAGTGTCACCACGACCGGTCGGGGTCCAGGAATCGCAGCTCTGTCTCCTCTCAAGCCATCGCTGCTTGTCAGTGTGCCTGCCAGGTCCATTCTGCCTCGGCCTGTATCGTAGGTTTGCAGTCCTGGCTGATGCGACAGGGCCCGGCGGGCTTGTGGGATCTAGGTTGAAGAACCCGAGGTCCTCGCCGATTCCGATAATGAGGAGATCCAATCTGATGAACATCCCCGGACTGAAGGGTCGTCAGGCGCGTCTGCTTTGAAACTACATGTGATGATTAGTAAACCCACCTCCCTCAAAGCATTCTCCTCAACCCCCAAGCAGGCCCCAGAATATCAAGACTAGTCATAAATAGTCATAATAGTTTAGGCCTGGCCCCCCGCCGCCTCTTTTTCTTTCACCTTCCTCTCTTTCGCTTCTTTTGCTCTTTCTCTATTTTTCTCTTTCTCTCTCTTTCTCTCTCTTTCTCTCTCTTTCTCTCTGTTTCTCTCTCTTTCTCTCTCTTTCTCTCATATTCTCTCTCTTTCTCTCTCTTTCTCTCTCTTTCTCTCTCTTTCTCTCTCTTTCTCTCTCTTTCTCTCTCTTTCTCTCTCTTTCTCTCTCTTTCTCTCTCTTTCTCTCTCTCTCGTTCTCTCTCGTTCTCTCTTTCTCTCTTTCTCTCTTTCCGGACATGGGTTTGGATAATGCTCACTCGGGTGCTGATCTTCTCCCAATGAAGTGCCTGCAGACGACACCGGCAGCGACAAGACGGCCGGGAGCCGCAGACCAGGAGGGCCAGGTCTATCGCTGCGAAAGGCGTCATTGCTTTCGTATAGGCAAGTATGCAGGTGGCCCAATGACACCAGAGATCGGAAGCCCGTGCGCCCTCGCGTTGTAGTGCCCTCCATGTCCTCAAAGCTACTTGAGTTTCCCGAGGCGAAGAGCAACCGGACTCCCAAGAAGCGGGGAAGGAAGCGGTTGAGCGTTTGCGAGTCGCAGCCCCAGACAAGGATTTGGAGCTCAACCGATCGCCTGCCAGACGCCTGTTGCGAATCATATTAAGTAGGGTCTGAGACCCTACTTAAGGACCGTCACAAACGAGCATAAAAGAAGAGCCAAAATCACGCTTTGGAAGCAGCTTCCAAAGACCAGCAAGAGCACGCAAGTCATGGGCAAGCCGAGGACGATGGGTGTGTCGCCATCCTCGGCTCTGCAGATCATCATCAACAATCCGGGGAAGTTGGAGCCAGGAGCCCGGGTTTTTTGACGACTCAAAGCGTTAGCATTGCGCTCCCGCACCAAAGGTCATTCTACAAAGTGGACCAGGCAAGGTTCATGTGAATCTGCTCTCAGACATTCTTTCGAGCAAGATTGAAATGCTATAACTTGGGTCTGGCGGTAAGACTCATAGTAGCTGAAGCAGTCCAGATATCGAAGTAAGGCTCTACGTTGAGCCCGCGAAGTCCAAACGGCGCTATTTAGCGCTATGTCATGTCTTACACAGACACAACAATCCAGCGGACTCCACATAGTACAGTCGCGGTGCCAGGTCTTAAAAGGGCCTGGACTCGGCAAAAGTTCTGCCACCTAGTAGGGTATAAGGCCAAGTAGGGTCGTAGGGTTGGTGACATGCGTCAGCCGCAGCCGCTTGCAGTCGGCTCACAGCACCTGTGTGTGGCTCGACTGAAGAAGGCGCAATTGCTTCCATGGCGTGTTGTTCTAGGGCTTTGATGAGAACTCGATTGCAGTCCCCCAGTCCCCTCCCCCTCCCAAGCATCTGTGGTCAAGCTTTGTACTGCAGCGGCATCTGTCTGAAATCTGAATCGGGCAGCCTTGCTCATGAGAGCGCTCGGTCTTGCATGCTCAGCCATTGACCTGACTTTGTTGAGCGGTGCTCTTACTAGGCAGAAGTGTGTGCTGTGTGCCGCCAAGCCCAGCTCACATGCTTGTTCGGAGGCGGCTATGGCGTACCTCGCATGCCAGCTTTCGTCCTTCGGCAATTTGGAGGCTTCAAAGAGCAACTGTGCTGAGTTAGCGCTGTGCTAATTGAATTGTAATTTAATCGCTAACGTGAGGCCGCCTCGGCAACGGTACCGAGGCTAATGCATGGGGTGGGAGGGGGGTTGGGGGCGGGGGTAGAGGGGAGGCCTCCGGCCTCGGCGGATCTTGGCCGTCACTTTCAATGCACGTCGCCCGCCTGGGGGCGCGGCCTTTTTGTAGGGCGGGGGTCAGTGTTAGCTGCAAGTTGTACGAGCGGCTACCGAGTGCTTGTCGCGCGCCGTTCGGTGGTTGCAGGCTCGTGCCAGGAGCAGGACAGCCAGATTATGTTTTCGAAATCATTTTTACTGAATAGTTAAATGCTGTTGCAGCAAACGGTTGTCAACCTGAAGTATGCATTGCCTTGAGATTCTGAAAGTCTCCAGGACTCCTTGGGACATGCTCGATGCTGGGTGCTGCTACGGCCAGGGGCCCAGAGGACCGGCCCATAGTGCCTTGGTTTTTGTTGCATCTGAACTGCTGACCAAAGCAGCCTGAAAGCTCCGCACCCTGATCTCTTGTGCGCTTTCAAGGGACATCATATCTTTATCGGCATCCTTCAGAGCATCAAAAATGGCCAACCATACTGACCATATTTCACCGCTCTACATGTCTTCTCGTCCTGCGTTTTCTTTTGAGGGCAATCATCTGTCCATGCGCCTCGGCCACTTGCTGCGAGCCATGTCTGTGGCCGCATCGGACTTGGCCTGCCCAAATCCATCAAGTCCAAAGCTCAAGGAGATGTTCTTTGTCGCTGCGAAGGAGCACGGCCAAGAACGAGATGACCTGCCCTTGTGGGGCTTGCGCCCAGAGATCACACCAAACCTGGCCTTCCCGTTGACCAGCAGCGGCCGCAGTGATCATGTGAGGAGGCAAGATGTCCAGGGCCTACGAGGCGGTTTTCAGATCTTGGATCTGCTGTCAGTGGAGGAGTGCGAGGCATTCGTAGCAGTACTGGAAGGACTTGGGTTTCATACCGACGCTGCCGTATCACTGCCGTACTCCTTCCGCCACATGACGAACTGCAATTTGTGCGTGCCGGAATTTGTGGACGAGCTGCTCTACAAGCGCTGTGAGCATCTTCTGCCGACGATTGCAGGCTACAAGCCTGTTGGCCTCAATGCCAAGTTCCGCTGCTACAGGTACCAGGCCGGAGATTACTTCAAGCCGCACACAGATGGTGCATGGCCGGGTTCCCGTGTCACGGGGAAAGGCTTTCAGAGTGATGCCTTTGGAGACCGCTTTAGTCAACTGACGTTTCTGATCCTGTTGACCGATGACTATGAAGGAGGGGAGACCCGCTTTCTGCTGGAAGACACATCCGTAGCTGTCAGAACACCGCGTGGTGGCGTTCTTGTTTTTCCTCACGGATACCATCCCGACAGCCCCCTCCATGAGGGATCACCGATCCACTCGGGTGTCAAGTACATCATTCGGACTGAGGTGTTATATCCACTGGAGGCGATGAAGATTCGCCAATCCTGAGAGAAGCTCTTGCCTTGCAGCTTCGAATGGCCGAAACACACGCGCTTAAGTGCCAAACAAGATGTTTGTGCCACATGTCATTCACTGGCCGGCAGCCATCATCATGTGTGCTGGCTGGTGAGCAGCTGGTGGTACCTTTCGGCCTTTGTGTCGCGCAGCATTTGAAGTGCAGAAGCAGTGCTGTCTTGTGAAGAGCGTTGGAGAGCATAACCAGAGGCTAACAGTGGCTAACAGTATCACAATAGTCAGATCGAAGGCTCGCCGGCAAGGTCTGAGCGGATGATGTGTAGTATGTGTAGGTCACGACTGTGACAGATACAGGAAGAACGAAGATATTCTTTCACTGCGCAGAAACTAAGTTTGCGTACCAAGGGGAGGTAGAGTGCAGAGTCGCAGCAGCTTCATGGTGCTTACTAGCAGCACTACTGTGGCCGAGGATTCCGACGGAGGCCCTCGCCTGTGGCGACAGGCTGGGGTGAATGCAGCAAAGCGGGGCCTCGGGAAGAGATTTAAAGCACTCAGATGTTCAGCCAAGCCTTTCAAGGTAAGCGATTCCTGGAAAACATCACACGATAGCGTCGCTAGAACGCCAAGCCACGAAGCAGTGCAGGCAGCCGAAGATTACGACCACACCCGGCCGGTTTTCATGGCCTTCAGTCTCATGTTCCATATGAATCGCTGTGAGCACGAAGACTTGGGGAAGTACCTCTGTGTTTTTGCAGAGGGCGGCCTGGGGCCCCCAATCGTTTGCGGCTTGCACCTACTGCCAGGCAAGGGGTTTTAAAAGTTCTTTCTTGGGGTTGCCTGGCTCCCTAAGGGGCTCCTAGGTGCCGAACCTGTGAAAGAACTTCATGGGTGGTGCGGTATACATACAGAATAGAAGTGCCTGACGCTGCCTGCAGCAGATGTCGAGAGTCTGGGAACTGGATTCAGCTACAGTGCTTTCCCGAGCCGGATGGACAGACTTTATGCCAAAGGACCTGCCAGCAATTCCCAAAAAACACACAAAGATGATTCAAAGATGCTCATACTTGTTGATGACTGCTGCCTTTTGTCGCGCATGGGGCTCATGAAGTACGGGCTGTGGTTGAGCTTGGCGAGCATCCGGTGACTCCCGAACCTAACAAGTCAAAGAATCCAAGACGATGTTGCAGGCCTTTTTGTGCTGCCTTTTGTCGCCCTGTAGGATTAGATTTCGGAGAGAGAAAGACAGAGAAACAGGGGTGCTGAAAGCGGAGCTCTAAAGCGGTCGCTTTCGCTTACGAGTTCAATCCCCGACCCCCTCCCCCCTACCAGTTTCTGGCCCCACCTTTTATGTTCTGTTCGAAGGGTCGTTTGCTCACACCTTGGACCCCCAATAGCTTGTGTTCACGCGACTTTCGGGTTCTTACTGTTTCTGCGCACAAGCATTCAGCTACATCCAGAAGTCCTCAGCCCCGGCACGAAGCCACAAACCTGGCGAAGAAAAACAAAAAGGGTAGGGATTGCTTCCTCCTCGTGCCCGCTCGCTTTCTGGGGCCCTCTCCAGTAGCTCCGAGAAGCTCTTGGCTTGCAGCGGAAGTCATCTCCACTTCCAAGCTGGTGCGAGGCGGGCTGCAAACAGCAGCACACCCCGTCACTTGATTCGAGGTTTCTCAATGTGGTCGGAGGGGCAGTTGAGGATGGTTGACGGCGTTCTGAGAATTCTTCTGAGTTGCCCTGTCAGGCCATGATGCCCTTCAGTGCCATTCTCCTTGCTCTGCTGCCATGCGCAATGGGCGAAGGATGGCAACATGCTAAATTCAAAGCTGCTCACATCATTCGCAGTCACAAGCGTTGCTTTAAGATTTGCGCAGGCCAGTGCTCACTGAAACCGCTGAAGCCTGCTCAATCCCCACCAGTCAACCTAACCCGTTTGGAGGCCAAGCAGGGACCCTGTATTGCTTTGCCTGCGTGACGCCAAACACCTACGAAGTGGGGATGATCGCGGCCATGGCGCACCTTTGACGCAAGCGTGTGTTTTGTGAATCATTTGGGCGCAGCTGGGCCCTTGTGCCAACTTCAGGTTCTGTCGCCGAACATTCCTTGCATCAGAGAAGGTTAATGTGCTTACTCACAACTTCGACCGAGCGTGAAGCCTGTCAAGGAGGCTGGGTGTGGGCCTGTTCGAGTGCAACGGCTACGACATCATCAGCAGCTGGACGCAAGTTTCACATAGCTTCACGAACCCGCCACTGCGCACTGCGCAGCCGCCAGTTGTCCTGGCGACCACAGAAAAACCACAGCGAAGGCAATACCACCGCCGACCAACTGTTCGTTAACTATCCGGACGTTGCCGGGATGCTCAAGGAGCCTGATGGGGTAGTACCGGCATTCTTAGCCCATGTGAAGAGATCTTGAGACGTCAACGTGTCCATGAGGACAAGGTGCATGTGATAAATAAGAATCTCTATGCGCCATGGATGCAATTATCAGGTTTTGCCGTCTTCGGCTTGCAATCACTAATGTTGTCAGAGTAATGCTGGAAAGTGACCCTTTTCCGCAGGGACTGGATGTTCTGGAGAAAGGGCTTTTCATGTTTTACCAGATCATTCAGAGGCGCTGTGTTGCACCTGCGCGTGTTTCTCGCGAGAAGCACTAGCTTGTTTCCCTCATGCGTCCCCCCACCTAATCCTCCCCTCCACCTGCCAGAAGAAAGGCAAGCCCAAAGCCAGCATGTGTTCTCCGGTTGTTTCTTTGAAGTAGTTCTCGACGTGAAGAATCAAGCAATTATTCGACATGAACAAGAGTATTTCCTAATTTTCGGCAGCTACGGTTGCGGAGAAATCGCAGCAGCCCCAAACCTGTCCTTGCAGCAACCCAGTGGAGGCTGAAAATGCCGCAACACACTAGCATTTTACAAAACTCCGAATTGCCGTTTAATTGCAGTGCGCACAGATGTTTGGAAGCGCAGGTGCTCGCATTTCTATATCACATAACATAAGAGCATGCCTAGATCCCTCTCGAAGCTTCAGGCAGAGGGTTTAGGGTTTAGGGTTTAGGGTGTATGGTTTAGGGTCCCAAATATGTGTGTGTGTGTGTAGTAAGACATGCTGCAATTGAGGTTCCGATGGTCAGGGGCCCCGCAGGCAGCACTCAGTTCATGAAGCCTTTTGCCGCATCGGTGTGCAAAATTCAGGATGTGCAAACTGGCAGAGAGGAACACTGCATCGGAAAGCCTGGTGTGTTTGGCTCACATTCTTTCCCTGTGGATCTGGGGGCGGGCGGGGTCGGGGGGTGGGGTTGGCTAGCCTAGATGCGTGAGGTTTTCAAATCCCACAGCCAGCAGGAACCTCAGGGACATGTTTAACACAAGGATCTCGGCCCACAAACTCAACTCAGAAAGGTTCTGTGAGAACCCCTTGAGTTCAATGGAGAAGTCGTAGTCAGAAAATGGAAGCAACAGCACTGGACGCATTGGACATGCGCTGCTGCAGCTTGATGCAGGCCAAGAATCTCATGGGCTTCTCAGCTAGACTCGAAATGCTGAAGCTAGTGTCTGGAGCCATTACGGGGCCGTCAGCTCTAGAGAATTGTACGACTGTGCGGGGCCGAGGTCGCCAAGGCTGTTTCGTCGGCCCGTTTAAGCCCTCGATCCCGCAGTGACATGTGACATGTGACATGTGGATACACAAATCTTACTGTTGGCCTTTCCCCGAAGCCTTCGCTAGAGTACCAGCCTGCCTTCCACATGACCCTTCCACATGACCGGTAGCAAGCAAATGTTGAGCATCTGCTCTGCAGGGCACGACAGCTCATCGCCCCAAACGGATCCGAACTCGCCCTTGTACGAGGGAAAGAAAGCGAGCCTTCGAAGGCATCTTAGAGGGAGGGCCGTTGCGTTGTTTTGTCAATTTGAGGAGGCCCCGCTTGAAGCGGTTTCTTTGTGGGTCTGGTTTGCGGTAGACAGAGAAGTAGAAATATGATGTTTATCAATGGGTGAAGTCTGACTTCACACTAGGCCCTCACTATAGGTCCATAGGTTTTAACTACAGCTGACTCTGAGATCAAGCTGAGGATTATGAAGCACCTTGTCAACGCACCCGTGTTCAAGGATGCGGCCTGCCTGAAGTGTGGGGAAGTAGCGACTTTGGCATGAGAATGCCAAGTGAATTGCAGGGAGCCAGCATCATCAGCCTCAGCTTGCCTGATGTTCTAGAGTATAGCATAACAAGAAATGCTGGTTTTGTCTCTGTGCCTGTGCTGATGATGGCATTCTCTAAGGTGTGGCAGTCCATCTTTGACATTGGAGCTTTCGAGCCTCGCATGCACGTTCGACCTGCAAGAAAGTTGCAAGATCTGTGCTCAGCCATGTTCATGGCAGCCTCAAGACTCCTGTTAGTCTTGCACGTATCTGAAAAGACCCATGATACCTTCAGCGTTGTTCTCCAACCTGCGCAGGGGAATTTCGACTACACGTGCAAGTTGGATGTGGATGCAGCTGTCTTAATCCGCGGCAAAGCAGTTCACGACTTGAGCACGTGAGAGTCATGTAATGCTGTTAGCTGTTGGGGTGATCCTCGCCCGTTAGCTTCTTAAATTAGCTTCCCTCACAGGCACTTGGACAAGCACATGGAAGCGCATGATGTTGGTGTCCATTTTGAGCCCTTGAGAACCTTGTGAGCCTTGGGAGCCTTGCTGACTCCATGTCCGCGAGGGCCTTGCAGCCTCGCTGATATAAGCGTGTAAACATCTCGACAGAAACAGCATCGCCAATCTGTGGGCAAAGAGCAGCATAACCATTGCCATGAAGTCTGTGGGAAATTCTGCGGCAAACGCAGAGGCGGTTATCGTTCCCAAGCGGCTATCGGGAATGTTGTCTGCCAGACCTGGTGATGAAGAAGAATACTTCTTGACGCTTGGCATGCACAACGAGTGTCCTGCCTTGGTTTCCGGGTCAGTGTTCCTGGAACATCCAATATCTCTTTTCCAGGAAGCAGCGCATGTCTCGTGAGAGCAGGGAAGTCGCCTTCATCATGATCTGCTTTTCATGTCTTGCTCAAGTCCCGGCGCCGAAACCTTCCAACGCCGCCATTCCAGACTCTAAGGAACGCATACCACGACATGTGCGCTGCCTTAGTGGTTGCTTGCAGAGTGAGTTTTAAGCTCACACCTGGAGAAGGGGTTGGGTGTGCCACTCATCCAGTTGGTGTGTTTACGCTTGACTCACTTGACTCTCTCAGCTCGACTTTGGTTGTTATGCACAGAAAACCATGCCCTCAGTCCGAGAGCAGTTCGGCCGCCATATCCCCAACAGCTCGCAGAGCTCGCTATGGCGCACTTTCGGCGCTGCAATGCACCGCGCAGCTCCCGAAGAAGATGCTAAACTCCTTCAGAATCCCAACTCCTACAGCACAGTAATCCCAAACACCATATGCTAACCCTTGTCAAAATTTGGTCAGGTACGGCAATTTCCTCCATGGGCCGGTGGAGCTGATCTCCAAAAAGGGCATGACGCTGGACGATCATTGATCCGAAAACATCCGAAAACAAGTCCAGCGCTAGCTCTGCCAATAGGGCCTTGGGTAAAGGCAACCCATAAGCGACCCTTTTTGACATACGGTGTTCTGTGTTCCTTTTTGTTTTCAGAGGTTCCATTGCAATCATGCTTGCGGCTCAGGACCCAATCGAACCCAAAGCCCCCGTGTGAGGTACGTTTTTCGGGATACCCAGCAGCGGTGCCCGGGCCCTGGTGGATGTCACGTGGTGTTGTGACAAGAAGCGAGCGACATGTCCGCAGGGGTGCTTCAACACATGATGCCGCTTCAAGTACCATGAGCTTATGAGCGACCTGAGGCTACGATCAAATCAGCTTGGAGAAGTACGGGGAGGACGGACAATCAGACTTTCATCATGCTCTAGCTCAAACCTTCACAAGCGTGCTTCACTCAATTCAACACGGCACCAGCGCCGTAGGCACACGCTAGTGCCGTGGACTTCATCTCCGTTTTCTGGTAGAAGGAGTCAACAGGCGCACAGGTCTCGGCATAAGGCCAACGACTCAGAACGCGAAACAACAAGTTATTGAGCCCTGCCGATGTTCAATGAACGATAGGTTTGGCGGAGAGCTTTCATATACCGTCGCACGCAGGACTTTTGGGCCAACAAATGCTGGTCTTTGCTGGGTGCCAAGACCTTAGCCCTGAACTGGAAGTGGCGCAGAGATTCGATGGTAAAGGGGGCTCTTGTCCATTTTTGGTGCGCTGTCTGTTGGTGCATTCGGACATGTTGATCACAACTTAAGGAGTACTATGGGCTTAAAACGGCACCAGCCTCGAACCCCTTACTGTGCCTCTGGATGCTGGAGGATGTTAAATCTCCTGCCCTGAAACCCCGAAACTGTTCTTCCACCGCATCCATCTTAGAAGTCCAACTTATCACCTTGTCCCTTGAGACACTGTCTGCACCGGAGGGCGGGGGGTTCGCATTCTTGACCACGAGACTGGGCCACTAGATGAGCATGTGGGCGTTGTCCACAAACCCCTGTCTTTGTTTTCATGGCGAATATTTTATATAGATTTCTGCTGGTTTTTTAGTATCCGCGAAAGGCCCGCGAAAGCGCGGCGGAAGGAATAGAACAGAGGCGGAGTAGGGGAAATGGGTCTTCACTGACGCCGCCCACCGCTTGGGGGTCGGCGGACAATTCAGAAAGCCATACGCTGCGTGCAGCCTCTTTGTGTTCCCCACTGCCCTCCGTGGACAGCGCCAAGCCTACTATATTCTAATCGATCAAGGTCGAAGCAAAGTGGCGACAAAATATAGTGCGGAACCGCTCGGAACTGTTCTGAACGATATATAACTTCTTCCCGCCGAAAAACGAAATAGTTCGAAATAGTTCCAAATCGTTCGAAATCGTTCGAAATAGTCCGGGGAGTTGTATATGGTTCGGAACCGTTCTGAACTGTATCTTGATAAGTAGTGCAGAACCGCTCGGAGCCGTTCTGAGCTATGTATTGACCATGCAGTATAGCTAGTTGATATGATATCATCATGCCAAGTCATGTCACATATGTCATCAGTTTATGTCACATCGTATTTTTCATATGCTCATACTTTAGCCGCGTGGGTTGAGGTGCCAGAGTCCCTCTCTCTGTCGCTCTCCCACGCTCTCTCTTACCCTCTTCCGCTCTCATCACCGCCTTGTGGGCGGGCAGGCTGCTGGTAAGGCGCTGGGACTTAGAAATCACTCCAAGGATTCTATATATAGTTCCAAGGATTTATATATAGTTCGAAGCACTGTGTGGGCCCACAATGAGAGAGGCCCACGCAGGTAACAAATCCTGGCCCTTAACCCTCAAACCACAAAGCGAGTGCGTTTAGGGACCGCCCCTAAACGCACCCATTGTTTTGTTTCATCTGCAGTGGCGGCCGGTGGTGGTTGCAATGTGGCTGGTGAGGGGGGCCACGTGCGTTTGGAAGGCTTCAAAAATGTACACTGATTCTCGTCGAGTGCAAAAACGCAGGCTTGGATGGTTGTTGGCACGTGTTGGAGAGCAAGATCTCCGCGACTGACCGCGAAAGTGCTGCCTGATTTCACGCTGGTTCTGAGAGGAAGCGCGCGCTGGCGAAAGGCACGCGAAAGGTCCGCGAAACGAACGCGATTGGGCGACAGGTCCTGGAAAGGTATTGGCCAGCTGTGCTTCCAACTTCCATTGTCCTTCCAGCCAAATAAGAAGAGGTCTGGAGCCCTAATTAAGTCCTGGACCCGTTTGGTTCGAATTAGGGCCAAGTGCGTTGTGGAGTGCCTGAAAAACGCACGCTGAGGGGTGCAAATGCAGCTCAAAAGAACCGGCATGGATGGCTGAATCATGAAGCGCCTACACAGCCCGAAGGCTTAAAAACCAAACCTTCAGATTTCGCGCGAGCGCGAAGGAATTATGCGGAAGTTACGGACCCGCGAAAGACTTAGCAAATCATCAGCTACCAATGGGTGTGCTTGGCTGCCCATCACCACACATACCAGTTTGAGATTGGGCTTGCACAGTGTACTTTGTCGCACAGGATATTGAAGCAGACAGTGGAATCGGAGGGGCTTCTGGCCACTGAAACACACAATCGGTCACGGCGACTGTTTAGAGTCCATGCTGCCACCCAAAAAAAACACCAACAAAAAAAGTATTCTTAAAAAAGCAATAAATCAGCAGGGAAAGAATTAAGTTTCTATGGAGTCCTCTTGGTTTCAGGTCAATAGTTTCAGGACTGTGGGATGATGCGGGTTTGCATGCCTTGTCGAGCTACAATTTCGGGTTGATTTGGGGTTCAGGGTTTTGAGGTTATAGGGGCTGACGACTCAGCAGGTCGAGGCTTAATTGGTTCCCCTTCTTGGGATGAGAGGGCAAAGTGAGTTTTGGGGGGCCTGACGCACACAGCTTCCCCGCTGCTTGTACTTGTGCCAGGAGACGTGGAGTGCGTTTGGAGACCGTGTGTAAACGCACGCGTAGTGGCATGGGCATTCCTGTAGTCGACCATTTGTCCAAAAGCACTGAAGCCAGCACATTGATTCCCCTTCTTGGGATGAGAGGGCAAAGTGCGTTTTGGGGGGCCTGAAAAACGTACACAGCTTCCCTGCTGTTTGTACTTGGTTATGTCGACTACATCACCGACGAAAACTATTTGACAATTTTATGTCTCCGCGAAAGGCCACGAAAGGTCCGCGAAACGCGCGGCGGTTGGTGGGTTTCTGGGAAAAAGAAAATCGGACAACGCCCATGTGTGTTATTGAATCGTCCTACAGATCCCCTTTAAGGAAGGGACCCGGAAGGAGACACTGGTTACAGGCCCCCAAGTTTAGAACAACCACACATGCCTCCTGAGATCCCTCAAGTGCCGACGGAAGTGGCTTGGCTGCAGCTTGCAGGCGCAAAAAACCAACACGGGAGTAAGCTCTGTTGGTCTGGATTCTCTTCATGATCCAGGGCCCAAAGGCTTGAGGAATTTCGAGGTCGGACAGTAGGCATCAATTGGCCAGTTTTCAGGGTCACGGTGCTCGCAGCAGCTTCAGCATCTCAGGACATGCCCCTGCTCTATGATGAGTATGAACCTCGGATAAAAAGCAAATATTCAGAAGCAAATGTTAGTGTTCTTCGCAGCCCTTGACGCTTTGCACGGTTGCGCGCCAGCTGTAGTCGAGATGTTGTTGCCGAGCATTATCGTTGAGTGCTATTGTAGTATCCTCACGATGCCCCGTGGCCCATGCGCTATGAACTCACCACTTGCAGGTTTGCTCGGCAGTCCAGCTTGCAGTCATTAGTCAGTCCATTGTACTTCATGAAGCCCCTGCGTGTCTGGTAAGGAGTGGGGGGCATCTGCCCAAAATCACTGCTGGGAGTTGGCTCCAGATCCCGCAGTCTCTACGCAGAAACTCTACTTTGGAGTGTGCCGCCGCCGCAGATGGAGGGTACCTGTCGCAGAGCGTGACCCCAAAGCATGCATCCCATCAAGCCTGGATTTGCGTCAAGGAAGGCTTAGTCGGAACTCTGGGCTGAGGTACCATCCCCGCAAGAATATGGCGGACTGCCCGATGAAAGCAAAGCTCCACTAAGTGCAGTCGTGCCTAACAGCCTCTCACCCTGTCATCGGAAGGACTGGCTGGAATGCCGAGAGCAAACGGGAGTTCCAAAGTTCATTTCCCAGGCACCCCAGATCCGGGATCTGGGATTGTGCCACGAAATGCCGCGAAATGCCGCGAATGTAGCAACGAAGCGACTGCATTCGTGTAAGTCTACTTATCAGCATCTGAGTGCGATGCCAGGAGCAGAAGCAGATGGCAATCCAGGCAGCGGGCCCTGGAAAGCCCACCAAGGCGAGTTTAGCCACGCTACCATGCCGTGATATGTGTTGAACATGTTGCTAAAGTTTCCAGGCTTAGTAAGCGTTCATGGGGCATCTCTTCGCACCAACAGTTATACCTCGCTCGTTTGACTTTGCACGTGAGCTTTGGACCAGATCATCGGCATGAAGTACGAGATGTCGTCCATGCCCGTGCAGTGGCCCCTTGGCGGTTGCAACTGGAAGGCAGAGCTTCCGACAGTAGTCATGCAGAGCTTTGGGCTATAGTCAGAAGTGGGCGGCATTGGCGCGCCAAACATCAGGCTCAGATAGAATCTTGCTTTGGCCGAGGTCTCTGCCTTTGGCGGCCTTCGTGTCTGTGGGCATTGCAGGTTGCATGTATGCAGAATGCTCAATTTCTTTCAGGTTCCACATGTGAATGCCACTTGTTTTTATGGGAATTCGGGACAACGATATATGAGCGGTGGATCCGTTCCTGAACTCAGATGTATGCGTTAACCTGTCCCTAGATGAGCCACCAAAGCCCAGAAGATTGAAGCCGCAATTGCGATTCTGGCTTTTGGTGCAGGGCTTGGCTGAACCCCAAAGTCAACCCCCAAGGCCCAACACCATACAGAATCCCGAACAAACATATTCTGGGGGGATGGCATTCCTGCCGTTTCGTGCAGCTTCTGACACCTGAA